TCAATTATCTTTTTAATTCCAGGACGCTAGAACAGCTCTTATCGCAGGCGTCTGGAAAAAAAACGCGACGTTCTCTAAGAGGAAAATTTGCGCCACTATGAGCTGGTATTACTTCTTACCCGGCGTTAATGGGAAAATTCAGATAATGCGACATGTCCGCGGAGATAATTAAGTTTTAAGAATCGCAGTTTTACAGATCGAATTTAGGAACATTATGCAGCAGAGATTTTAATATGCGAAATAATTAAGGTGACTCGCGTTGGTGGTAGCTCCAAAAAGCAAACTTGCGGCTGAAACCTCGCATTAACCGCGAGATAAATTCTCGCCTTCATAATTCTCAAGCGATTGTTTTATTAATTTCGCAGCTTCTACGTAACTTCCGACGACTAACAAGCACGCGCGCGCGCGCGCGCGATTACGAACACGTGTTCTTCGTGCTTTTATATAACGTTATATAAAAGTTTGCTTTTTGGAGCTACCACCAACGCGAGTCACCTTAATTATTTCGCATATTAAAATCTCTGCTGCATAATGTTCCTAAATTCGATCTGTAAAACTGGATCCAATAATAATAATAATTCACTTAGCGTACAATTACAGAAACGTGACGTTTATTGATTTAAAATAAAATTTGCGTTTGCAACATCTACCATCCACGTCTGACCGTTACTTTTCGACTATTTTTTTCAACAAACTATATGTAGGATATATGCTTTTATTCATGTAGTTATTTTTTAACGGCACTTGTAATAATCTATAACTGTCAAACGCGAGCAATTTGCTTTTCGTTTATCCGCATCATCTAATCTGCATCCTGCGACGAGAGCATTATATATCGTATCGTTATTTTATACAGGTGTTCCGTGATAACCCAGTTGTGCGCGCTATGACGTCATAAAGCTGGCCGATAAACGATACCGGCAGCGAGAATACGAACGGGCAGCGGCGCTCTGAATAAAACGAGATAATGCCCTCAATATGAAGCATCGACCGGAAAGTTGCAACGCGTGTCGATTTAGTCGTAGAAACCCGTTGTAATTCCAATGGGAAATGGTACTTTGTTACTCTCACTTCTCCCAAATCCGCCCGAGAGCCCTTCCGCATCGCGGGCGAAACATCGCGCGCGCATCACGAAATACCTAATTAATTAATGCAATTAAGTTGGTAATCTCGTTTCAGACGAAGATCCCGCACCGAAAGTCGCGCGACCGGATCTAAAAGTCAAGCTTCCGTTCGACTCCCTCGAATCTCGCGGGAACGAATTTCGCTGGCGATGCATCGAAAGATTAAAAAAACATAGTTCTCTCGTTCTCGGACGAGAAAAAGCGCGTTGTATCAAGAGATAAATAAGGATATTGTCTCGACCATATTTATTGGCGCGGCGAATTGCCGGCGAGGCGATGCATAAATTCGCCGAGTTTGGCTAAAAAGCGGAACTTGCGCGAGAGAATAACGGACGCGAGAGAAGAGCAGGGGAACGACGAGAGAGATCGCCCGGGGAAGTTGAAAAAAGTATCGACAAAAAGGGGATCTCTCGGAGGAGGTCTCGCCGTGATCGCGCACGCAAGATACTCCGCGCTGCATAATCCGCAATAAATTTCAATGGGTGCCAAAACACTTCCATTCCATTTTCTTCCGCCGTGTGACTTATCATCGCCCGAATATCTGCGTCGGAGTTACACGCCAGCCGATCCATCTTCTCGCGATCTCCTTTTCGGCGGCTTTGACCGCAGATGGAAGGTATACGTTGCGGTTTCCCTCGTCCGCGAAAGCGGCGAGATATATTTCCGAAATATTTGGCCAGTTCATCCAGTCGATCTCGCCCAGTAATACGAGGATCTGTTGTACTTATTGGGTACATTGATACAGATGATTTCGTGTGCCGTGTGCCGTGTAGTGATACGAGCGATGGATATATTTTTAAGGGAGAAAAAACTATCAGACAAGAAAAAATCATCTATTTGTACATGTGCAAAAATAAGGAAAGATAAACAGCGATTTTTAATTGTACAAACACACACACACACACACATACACATGCGCGATTGATAGGATATTGTATCCTATCCCGCGATTGAATATGAGCTTGTATCAAAGTTTGAACAATAGTCAACCAGTACGAGATCTGCAGTCTATTTAAAATGTGCGCAATGTGCTGTATGTCACAAATATTTTTTCACACAGACATTTTCATTCCACTCGCGACTTGCTGATCTCGACATCTGTCACAATTCAGATAAATGCATTTTGCGCGAAATTATCGCGTTCGACTTTGCCCGTTAACGAAACGTTAATTTGCGCGCGAAGGGCCGGCGATATATATTGATTTGTTTAATAACTTCGCACACGTACATCCCGTGCGTTGCATCGATGACGCGTTGATTAAAGCTGTTGCGTAATTATTTTGCTATCTGGTATTTGACGTTCGCGCTCAACAGAAGACACATGACGAATTTAATATCGTACGTTCGCGTACACGCGCGCATACAATGAATCGCCGTCAATTATCGTCATTTTTCGGAGAGCGATCGATGTGAAATACAATCCCAATTTCAACAAGCGGGCAGGAAATTAATTTACATGTAATACATAACCAAATGGTATACTGGTGATACAGTGACGACATGCGGGGATAAATTTGTTAACGTTTAATAATAATAATAAAGTGGAGTATGCGAAGTCCTTTGAAAGGTAACTATTGTGCATTACGAGGTAAACCGCTAACCAAAAATTTGTACACCAATTTCATAATTGATTGGTGTACAGCAATGTTCATTCATAATACGCTATTAAATTAACTGGTAATTTTACGTTGTTACGCAACTGACGTTTCTTTTTTTAACGAGCAATTTAAGAAATTTATTGAATTATACATTGTAGACCGAGTGATTGATGGCACGGCTTAAACATATTAATTAAGAATCCCATCTAATTCATGCTAATTATACTCCGTATACTCTAAAATTTCCGGCTGTCAATGAGATGTTTTTAGTCATATAATTTTCTTAAAAGTCGCCTTTAACTTGCTTTCTTAGTGAAGAATGAGCGCTACTTTGTAATTGTCGGAAGTGTTAATCCAATCCATTTCGATCTACAAGCACGTACATCGTAAGCATCGGAGGAGGGCGAATGCCGAGGTATCGGCTATCGGCCATTAAGCGACACTTAATGCCGTCGAGAATGTCGTAACCGTAAAGATATTTGACTTTTCTCCTGATCGGTCTAATCGTCGTGCTCTCTTTCGAAGTCTTCTTGTAAACAATCGTCTATCTTTTCATGAAAAGCCAAGTGATTAAATTAAATCATTAAAGAAGGAAAATTTCTGTAGAGAAGAACAATCGCCACGAGCCATACGTATATATAGTATAATTACTGTGTTTAACTAAGCAAAACTAATCACGTTCGCAGTTATTATTATTACTGATTTATGCACGTTGCGATACATCACATCTCGGATGTGTTTACTTGTTTATTATTCATTGGATCGGCTATTGTATTTTACATTATTTTGTCATTACGGCGAATCCGTACAAAGAGAGAACGAGATAATTTTAATACAATAATTACACGCGTATACTAATCCGTTCTATCAAACTACATCACATGTAGGTTGCTCATTGACATTAAATGTCACATGGTATTAAACTTAACGGGGCGATATAAACGACAGATATAGAAAACGATGTACATAAATATGCATAAGCATTATAAAGCAAGTTCTAACTGGGAGTCTCCGCGAGGGGACTGCGAGGCGAGGGGTTGATCGTTCAGCATGAGCATGATCGGTCACTAGGCGAGGAATCTTCGGGGAGAGAGAATAAAAATCGAGATGTTTTACGATGAAGCGTATATAGTAAATCGAAAATGTCGATTATTCGGTTAAACTACTTTTGTCATAACAGAACGTAGTCTCGGTAGATCCACAAGAATTTTATCGTCAAAACAATATCATCGATTGAACATCAAATATTTTGCCGCGTTAATAGGATAACGGGATCACACCGGATCACGATTGGAGGACGCAGCGTTTGATAATGATACTTCCTCGTTTGTGGAAAGCGTGAGTATTTGCAAAGAGTAATACGAAATACCTTTGTCAATAAAGCGCTTGATGATGAAACCCCCGGTACGCGGTTGCTTTCGAGCTGCTGCTTTCAATCGAGTTCCGTTCCACCTGAATCGCCGATTGCATTCCGCGCCACTTTTGCTTCTTTGAACGCGAAGTTAATAAGCAGCCGTTCGATTTCGTTTCCCCAATCCCAGATCCTCGCGCGTAAGATAGCAGCATCGTCGATATCGGACGAAATTAGTTTACCGTCGTCATTTACTTGCAATTTATAAGAAATCTTCTTCCGATACTTTGCAAATTGTTGCGAAAAACAATACGAAAGTTTTGAACTGCACGTGGAAAGATAATAATTTTCCGCGTTATTGAATAAGCTTCAGAAGATCGTTGAAGTAAGCGCGAGTTTCAGATTAGATAAACTTAACAATTTACTACCGTTAAAACATTTTTCTTTCACGATAACTTTGAGGACTGTGTGTCACTGAATTGTTACAGCCTGCCGCTACAAAACCCCCCGAGCTCGGCGCTCAAATGCACGGTCCGGGTAATTGCGTTAGATCATTTCCGTTCTGCAAACGCAAACATCGAGGGGGCAATGCGAGGAAGGCACGCGGGGCATCAAACGAGGGTTAATTCCATCCCTCTCGGCTTCGATTAAACGAATTGCAAGAGCCGGACGTTTCGAGTGCGCGAGATCGATCTTTCCCGCGATGTTAAAGGGCATAGCTCCCTTCGTGCGCCATTTAACTCGGCAAGAACGGCAAACAGCAGCCGCGGACCGCGCCACTCTCGAAAAGCCAGCATCCACTTGCCCCGAAAATGACCGTTCCTCACCCCGCGCCCCTCCTTCACCCCTGCCTCTCGTTTTCCCTCACTCTCTCTTTCTCGGCAGAGTAACTTAACGTAACAACGTACACGTGCGCAATACACATACCTACTCTTGTTTCCGCACGCCGTCCCCTCTCATCTCGTCGCTCGCAGCTCGCGATGTGCCGAGGCGATGACGTTGCTGGGACGCCGCGGCATCGCGAGATCGTGACTACGTTCCTCGCGAATCGTGGGGGCTGGGGGGGGGGGGAGAGATCGGCGTCGTCGTGCGTGTCAGATCGACCCTAGAATCGGCACCTCGATTCCGTCACAATCACCGGCACTCTCACGACGAATTCACGCGTAGCGGCCGTAACGATCGGCACACTCGCCGATCGCGGCCGCAGAATTCCGCTTCGCGCTTCCGACTCACAGAATATTGCTTTTATCGATGCACTTAAAGTCGCGCTTAATTGGAGAAATGGTAAACGGACCGGCTCGGCTTGGATGTCTTCGTGCTAAACTATCGGTATGATCGACCGCTAATCCTAATTTCCCAGCGAATCGGCAGATTCGGCTTGCCGTTCTCTCTCGTCGTACAGAATTGTCAGGTCCACGTGACTCGCGGAGCCGACTCTCTCGTTACATCGTCGCGGCGTACAAAGCGACGCGATCAAACGGCCAGTGCTGTTGAAAGCTCGTAGCGCTTAATGAGCCGCGATTACGCGCGTTCCCGCGCTATGTACGATATCGGACAGGCGAAAGCCGGAACTTGAGGCGTCAGATGCACCGGCAATCGAATTGTCGCGATCAATTGTTTGCGGCGGTTCACTTAATGCCATGCACGTGCCGACACGCACGGCGTTACTCGACGCCGCCGTCGCGATCGAACGGATCGGTCGACCATCGATCGCCACTGGCAATTTATTTCTCGGGATTATTATTACTTTCTTCGCCGCATAATCTGATCCCGCGTTTAAAGTTACATTCTCGAGTGACGAATTGAAAAACGTAATGAAAGAGATCTGAAAATCGCGTCTCACTGTCCTGCGCGGCGCGAAACCCTCGGAAAACTAGGTGATTTCCGGTCCTATAATTTTAGTATGTAAACGTCTGCATTCATTAGTTATTACAAGTTCGTCGTTAAATCGTCTCGATTCGCGATGACGTGACGCACGCGATGACGCGACATTCGCGATGACGTCCGATCGCGCAATCGACTTCGCCGCCGGCGAGATATTTTGAACCTACTGTGTGCTCGGCTCGTAGGTATTCCGGGTGTTTGGTCGCTTAATTAAATTCTCCGGTGAATATCGTGCGTACTTCGTCTGTAGACACTCGACGGCGCGTTATTGACTGCGGAGTGCCTTCTTCCGACCGGTAGACCTCTTTCCAGGATGCCTCGTGAAGTGGCGTAAGTTTTATTGTGCAGCGTACTTCATGGCCGGGCAATCGCGGCTTCTGGCACAATTTTCCGGACTCTCTTTCACGAAGTACTAATTCCCACAATTCAATTCATCCCAAGTATCCTCGATCATCCGCCTTTCTCTCTCCTGATGCTCCTCGAATTTTCGTTTATTCGCGTCACCACAAAAGTACCCCCTTCAAAATTAACCGCAGCCTCGAATAAACGTAAAATTAGTACGTATTTATAACGGTGACGTTAATAGACGTTTGACCTCTCGGTATCACATTCAGGAAAGTGTTAAAGTTCGACAAAGTCTAAAATCCACGCCTGACATCTGCGTTTACGTCATCGTCTCTCGTCAGAGATTCAGCAGTTACACGTTGCAACAAGCATCTATCGTTCTACGCGAATCGCATGCTTGACACGAGACGGCAGCCTTTAATCATCCATCAGGGTATTAACGACAATCGCTCGATGACCGCACCGTCGTTGACATATACGGGTCAGGATCGACACCATGGTGTTCCATTCCGCATGAACCACGTTTACGCAATGGCATTCGTGACCCACCAGCGAAACACTCACACTAACATGGCGCACAAAAATTTTAGCATCCCCCAAGTTCACGGCTCGCCGCCACCCTCGACACCACAAACTTCCCCTCGCCGCATAGACCTCACTACTACGGTTTGCATTTTTTATTCACGATTACGAACCGTCATCACCGTCGATGTCACCGTATTCCTACTCAAGTATGTAACATGTACACGCAATGTTAATTATAAACGCCGGCAACATTTATATGTGCGAGTGCTGATCTTTAAAAGACTTCCTCAGTCGGTTGAACATCACCGGGTCTTATCGCGATCGAGAGAACCGCTAATCGTTAAGATCCTGTTCTTTCCGCGGCTATCGCCGTCAACTACCCTCACCGGTCACCCTCGCGCCTTCAATGGCATCCGACGATGAACGGCGGTCACCCACGTCGACGAGTGACACGCGCACGAAGCCTCTCTACCGCCGTCGTCGTCGTCGAAATGTCATCGTCGTCGTCGCAAGTAGTAGAAGAGCAATTTAGACGCGCCGCGCGTGTTGTACGCTCTCACCACGTTGCTCTACGCTCGCCCGGTGGCCATCGTCGCCGTCGTCGTCGTCGACGCCGTCGTCGTCGTCGTCGTCGTCGACGATGCCTCGTCAGCAGCACGGTCTCTACGCGCTCCCGTCGTCGGATGTACACGCTGCCCGCGAAAGCGGACACTCGCGTGTCCAGATCCACGTCACTCTCGCTGCCGGGTGCTCGCCCGGTCGGTCGCCCGGTCGTCGGTTCGCGCGCGTGCGAGACGACGTGCCACGCTGGTGAAATTCTAGACTGGAATATGGGTTAAAACGTCGCCGCCGCGAAACGCGCGCCGCAACGCGGACACCCGGGAACGTCGGACAGAGACGGAGAGAACGAGAAAACGGAGAGAGACAGAGGAGGGTGAGAGAGGAAGAGAGAATGATTCGCCGGTTTCTCCTCCTTCGTTGCCCGGGGAGCGGCTATGGCGGCGGCCTGGCTCTCACTGCTGCTTCCCTCGACACGGGGTGACTCGCGGGGGTTGGTTACGCGAGGGGCGAGGGGATACGATTATCTCGCAGCATCCCCTAGCGCGCAGGACCAATCCGCACGGAACCGGCGCTTGACGACGGCGGAGGGTGTGCGTGAGTTGGTGGGAGACAGCTAGAGAGAGAAAACGAGAAAGAGGCAGGGCATGGAAAGGGTGGAGGGTGGTGGATAAAGGGAGAGAACGGTGGTCGGAGAAGGAAGACACACGACGTAAAGAGTGACGTTGAAGAGAGACACTCGGGGATTTGAGGACGGAGAAGGAAAGACAATGACAGAGAGGGTGCCGTGAAGCAGAAACGAACGCGCGATGGTTGAAGCGAGCTAGATGACGAAAGGTCGAGAAAGTGGACGAGACGGGGGTGAATCGGATGAAAGAGGAAAGGCGAAAAAGTGCGTGCCGAAGCGGGACAAGGACGGAGCGACGGCTAGGGAGCGTTGATAAAACAAAGGCAGCCGATAGAGGTGGGACGATAGAGGCGGGTATCGTCTGAAGCGAGATGAGACGAGAGGACTCTTCTCGAGCGAGACAAGGCGTGGAGCGTAGTACGCGCGAGACGAAGCGTGAACGAAAGGAAAAGAGAGACAGGAGCGGCGAAAGACGAGGGGGTTTGTCTGAGGGGGTTTGGAAAAACGCGCCGATCAAACAAAGACGGGAGAACGAGCGCGAAGGGAATCGACGACGTGAACCGCGGATCGAACAAAGGAAGACAGTGTCTTTCCGGAAGATACAGCTCGCCGTTCGCCGCGAAGATCCGGACTACACACAAAGCGTAAAAAAAAAGTTGGCTGGAGAGATAAAAAGACGAGATGGTACACTCCCGTGCGGGATCTAAACAGAAAGTGACTACTCGTATACCAAAACAGACTCTACGTGTCACGAAGCTTCAGAATTCGCGATAGAATGTAGACCGTGCACGAAAACGATCGAAACGATGCGGAAGTTCGATTCGGTAACTCCGCAAGAAGCTGCGCAGCGACGTGAAAAAGCCCGTGGCGACTGACTACCTACTGCGCGCTACCGTAAGAGGAAACGCGACCAGGTGGAAACCGAAAGGGTTGACGCGCTGTGACGCGATCGTGTCAGCCGCCATCGAAAATTCTGGGGTAAAAATTCGGGGTGAAAAATGGAAAAATGTGTATTCTGTATTATCGACCTGCGCGTGGTCTGATCTAATGAAAATATAAACACGTGCATCTCTTCGAGTTTTCTCAGAATGAAGAAAGGATGACAGATTATGCTTTACGTTTTATATTGAACGATTATCGTTCAGCTTTCATCTGCGCGTTTCCATTTTTAAATAATATAAAACAAAAGATAACACATTTGTATTTGTGCAATGTTTAATAGATGTCATAAAATGTTTGATGTGGATACACACGTCAAGTGTCAGGAAAATCGTATATTCTTGAATTATGTATTCTTGAGCTGGTTATATAAATGTATTTTTAGAAACAGAACTGACAACACAAGTTATCATAGTAACAAATGTATTTTTCTCTTCACTTGTACACCATCATTGTCAACGCATTCTTGGAATTTTCTTTAGGTAGTCTCTAAAACCCTGAGGCACATTTCTTGGGGAACATTTGCAATTTTCAAATATGAAATCCGGCATACCGGATACTTCCAGTCGGATGGTGCTCCATCCTACTATGCTATGTCTATTCCCTTAACAGAGAATTCGGACGGAGATGGACTGGAAGGAAAGGGCCTCTAACATGGCCAGCACGTTCTCCAGACCTCACGCCGTATGATTTCTGACTGTGAAGGATGATAAAAAGAACGTGTTTATGCTATGTGAGCTCCAACGGAAAATTGCAAATGTGATTACAACAATACCCAAAGAAAGGTGCCTCAGGGCTCTGGAGAAGATTCCAAGAATGTGTTGACAATGATGGTGAACAAGCAGATACTCTTTGAAGACAAAATACATTTATTATCTATGATATCTTGTATTATCAGTTTTATTTTTCTAAAAAAACCTTTTTTCCATATAAGTATTAATATTGTTTTAAAGAAAACCTTGTAAAGTCAGTAAATTGAAAGTTAAAGGGAATAAAATATGTATGACGAGAGCCTTTTTTCACTCCACACACGCACATTAAAGAAGAAGCGAGATAGTCTCAGTAGTATAGTCAATATCAAGGCCTCCGCCTTTCCTTCGCGACCGCTTACCTTGAATACGCGTTCCTAATCGGATCTAAGCACCCTTAATGTTTAAACCTTAATCTATATAGCTTAATGTAACTCCGAGGGCTTACGTGAGGTCGTGCATGCCCAAGTCCGCGTGCGTATCTTCGTCCTGCCGATGCCGTGGATACGGCGAGATGTATCAGGGATAGGGAAAGGATCGAACCGTTGTCGATCGAGAGAATCCGTGGAAAAGCGTCTACGATGATGCATCGTTGGCCGAGGGTTGTATCACTTGGATCGACTTATAAAATATTCATGAGGAAAGTTTTATCGGTGGAATCGCGCGGGAGAGAAACTGACTCGAGTATGAAAGTGTCGTTAGACGCGCTAACCTTGTCCCTTTTTTCTCTTTGTATTTTGCTTCCTCTTTCTCTCGCCCGTTCTAATGATATGTCAGCGTATAAAGTTTCTATATTTGCACGCACAACTTTAAGCTTATCATATCACATGTATATACATATATTATGTATAAGTACATACGTGATGTACTTATATTTCTCATGTCTATTATCAGCTTCTTTTTTTACGATAATCTCGGAATGTCAATCATTCTCGAGTCGTGGAGGATTGAAACTAAAGATTTCTTTCGCAGATTATGTACCAGAATGACATACGATTGTAATAAATTAATTGAAATTCTACTCTAACAGAATATAAATATATATTGTATATACATATTGTAATTATCTATCATGTTGTAATTATTACATTTTACAAATGTACATGATGAAAAAATAAATTCACACGTTTAATAAAGGAAGAATAAAACCAAATTAAAAGATGATACATGAAACAAAAAAAACATTTAACATTCGCAGGACTGAAATTTCTTGCACGATAGCTGCTTAATAACGAAGTGCGAAATGAGATCAAAATGAAATGGAATTAAAATGGAATAAAGGCAAACTGCGTTTGTACACTCGGTTGTAAGTTTATTTTCAAGTACGAGGTAAATAAAATGAATGATCTCTCCGCGCGCGTGGAACGCAACTCTCGAGAAGACAATATTATTGTTAGCACCGAGCGACGGCGGAAGCAATTATCTCTCGGCGCACTCGCGTTTTTCACGAGTCGGAAAACTCCCGCGTTTTCCCGCAACCGTGCTAAAAGGATAAAAGAATGCGAATTAATCTATTACATTTATTTTGCCGTTCCGAAACGTAATCTGCAAAGAAATCCTCAGTTTCTTGGTAATTCTAAGATATCATTTGCGCAAAGTTTATTAGTATATATCGTTTCGATACGGTACACGTTAGACACGTCAGATCGCAGTGCGGCTGCATTTTGCTGAGATCGCCGTTCAGACGAAGCTTCCGCAATGCGATGCAACCACTACTGCAGACTACCTCCTACATATGTTAGGTACGTGAATGATCACCCGACATTATATAGCGAGCTAAGAATTCTGCGCTACAAACAACGGCACTAATCCTTACGTGAAGGACACTTAACCGCCGTCCGTACCTTGCGCGAGCGATCCATCAAGCGGCACGGTAATTAACGAGCGACCGGTGAGCTTGTCTCCGATTCGTCGGCGACTAACTTGCCGATCGATTAATCATACATCCTATCCCAATTATATCCGGCGCCGCGCGCGGGGGGTATATTGTCTAGGGTGGATTCATTTTTCAGCGTGGCGATAGGATATAGGAACCGGACCGAATTCATCGATCGTCCGTCGTCGAGCATCGGCGCTATGCAATTAGGGACTACTCGCAAAGTACACAGAGGCGGCGAATGACGGGCGGGACGAAAGAGCACGGGGAGAGCTCACAAATGCTTGGCTTTATGCGCACGTACAATCGTTTCCAATGTTCGATTCGCGCTGCTCCCTTTTTAGAACGTGAATCGAGACCGTGATGCGCTTCGTCGAAGGGCTCTCGTACTCGTACGATGTTGTAGAAAAGTATTATCTCATTTTAGGTATGTAAACGTAGCATTCAGTCGTACTGATGATCGACAGTAATCACATATATAATTGTGATCCACGAATATGCCAGTGTTTCAAAGTTGCTCCATCATCTTTGGTTATTTTTTTATACAACTTGTGATACCGCTGGCATACAAAACCGAATTTATGCATGTCTTTCTAAGAATTGTTCGATTCAGCAAAGTAGTCTCCAAATATCGGTGAATTTTAGAGATTCAGCTTACATGATGCAAAATATCAAAAAGATACTACAATACCTGATATAATGCATGTTCGACGAATTGACATAGTTTAATTAAATATTAATATGCAAATCACACACACGTATACACGCATTTATTATATATAGTGCGATTCAATTTCTGAATAAATTTAGGACTGGTGAATTAATAGAAGCGCGTTTTATGTGCACCAAAGCCGACATCGGTGGTTCTTCGCCGAACAAGTGGCGTTAATTACTCGCCACCTTTGGCGACTTTCGATTTACTCGTGAAACGGCGGAAATACGTTCTCCAGTTACCGCATTGTTACGTTTTCCCTCGCCATCTACGCGTATTCGAGGAGAAGCTTCTTTCCCGGAGGCTATCCATTACGGGGAGAGTTACAGGTAGTTAGAAGCAGCTAGTTCTCATTGTAACCGCCGCATCAATAATCCCCGGCAAGGACTCGATCACCGAGAGACAACCACCTCTCAGCGTTCTAAGAATACCCCGCTATCCCTTACTAAAGAGAAACCTGTGCTCTTGATTAAGGCCACCCCTTTCTGTTGTTTTTCTTCACCGCCATTGTAAACAGTACCTTAACAAACAGCCACATCCC